ACTTCACTAAGTGGCCAGAAGTCTTCGCCATTTCAAATCAAGAAGCTTCAACAGTTGCAGATAAACTAGTTCATGAAGTCTTCTGTCGTTTCGGAGTACCTTTAGAGATTCACAGCGATAAGGAAGGAATTTTGAGTCTCAAGTATTCCAGAAAACTTGCCGAGTTATGGATACTCATAAAACAAGAACGACTTCTTATCATCCGCAATCTGATGGAATGGTAGAACGATTTATTCAGACATTGGAGAGGTACCTAGCAAAAGTTGTAGACAATCGGCAGCGAGATTGGGACAAGCACATACAACCGTTTTTGTTGTCATATCGAAGCGCTGTTCACGAAAGTACATCAGTGACACCAGCTTTCGCAAACTTTGGAAGAGAATTACGGCTGTCTGCAGACCTGATCACCGGGATACCACCTGATGCCCCACGCAGTATAACATATGCAAATGACTTGCGGAACAAAATGAATGACATTTATGAGCACGTCAGACAAGGGCCAGCAAATGTCCGAAAAAGACGAAAACCCGGCATGACCGCAAAATGAACAACAAAGGGTTCGACGAAGGTTCACTAGTGTGGTTGCACAATCCAGTCCGTAGCAAAGGGAAATCTCCTAAGCTTCAAGCTAAATGGGACGGCCCGTACCGGATTGTGACCAGGATAAACGATACAACCTACCGGATACAGAAAGGCGCAAGAGGGACTCCTAAGATCGTCCATGTGGATCGCCTGACCCGTTATTATGGGGCCGATAATGCTCGGGACGAGCATGTCTTAGGAGGTAGTGTTGCGCGCCTAAGTTGAGTCAGTTACCTAAAACTTGCACAACCTAGTGTCGGGGATCAGAGCGAGAAAGGCTTCCCTGAAAATGAGAATTTTGACTTTCGACCAACAGTGCCATCTAGTATCGAACGGAAGAATTAAGCTTTCTAAAAGCCCCACACTCGAACTTTCTGCGCCTGGTCGGTTGGCACGCGTATTTTCTTGAATATTCTGGATGTTTCGGTGAAAGGTGTATTTAAAAGCGCTGCAAGACGCGATCGGGGGAGTATTGAATTTGACGAGACAAGCGAAGCTTCGGAGTGAAATAAAGTGAATCAGTGTGATTAATTATTAGTGTTTTTTAAGTAAAGTGAATAAAAGTGTTAATTTTGGTAATTTAATCGGCAGTTTTTATTGTCGCGAACCCTAAGCTCGTAACAATAATGTACAAAAGTGGTACAAGGTGGGCATATTGAATAACATCTTCGGGGTCGTCAAGTAGAAATAGTGATAAATTAGTGTTCGACTATAACATCTGTGATGTGATGAGGTCATGACCTCAGTGTGCAGTTAGTATAGGAAAGATGCACGCGGTTGATGATGATTCTGATAATACACTTCACCACAGGGTGGAACCACAGGGTTTTTGTTAACTCCACGAAATATACAATTGCCGTCGGCGATGACGTTCCAACGACTTCACATTCGTATGTACAATACTGGCAGTGTGCATGGTCGTGATCAACAACCTACAGATTCAGGAAGACCTAGGATGTACGACGACGACACCGAGGAGCACATTATCGATATGTTTTAGGAAGATGCGACGCGGAGCACGCGCTCGGTGGCACGTGAACTAGGTGTGAACCATATGCGCGTTTGGAGAGTCCTCAAAGATGATGGCCAGCAACTGTATCATTATCGTCGAATTCAGTGTCTTCTTCCCAATGACTACGAGCTGAGAATGGATTACTGTAGATGGTTACTTGATAAGGTTGAAGGAGATCCTGAGTTTTTGAACCGCATACTTTATACGGATGAATGCTCTTTTGTAAGAACAGGTGTATTTAACGCTCATAATGAACACGTATGGTCAACGACAAATCCGCATTCGTATAAACACACCGATGAAAATCAATGTGTGTGCGGGAATTATAGGTGACAAAATTATTGGTCCGTATTTCCTTGACCACAGAATGAGCGGTGAAAACTACGGGCGTTTTTTGCGAGAAGAACTAAGCAATGAACTTGACGAAATAAATTTAGACCTCGTTCGTCGCATGTGGTTTCAACACGATGGCGGTCCACGGCATTTCACCCTTTGTGTATGAAGTTTGTTGGATACTGAATTCGGTGAAAGATGTATTAGCCGCGGTGGACCGGTCAACTGGCCGGCACGATCACCTGATCTCACACCTTTAGATTTTTATCTCTGGGATACGATTAAGCAGACTGCATTCCAAACAACATGCGATACCGAGGCAGAAATGCGTATGCGTATAGTCGCAGCCTTTGAAAAAATAAAGTCCGAAATGTCTGTTATGCAACGCGTGCGTTCAGAGATTATAAGTCGGTGTCACAAATGTATAGAGGTACAAGGTGGACACATTGAACATCTTCGTGGTCGTCAAGTATAAATAGTGATAAGTAGTAGTAGTAGCAGTAAGTAGAAATAGTGTTTGACTATAACATCTGTAATGTGACGCGGTCACAATCTCAGTGTGCGGTTAGTGTAGGTAAGACGCACGCACGAGCGCGCCCCGTCTTTGATGTACGTCACCGCCGGCAGCCGCCCGCTGCTGTCGATAATTCCAGGCAGAGGTAAACAATCCACATAAAATTTACAAATATTATTTAATTAAAATTTAATTATGTCGAGTTTTCTGAAGTAAAGTTATTTCTATACGTTTGAATACTGATTCTGATAACGCACTTAGAGGGAACCACATTGTTTTTGTTACATATTGTACTCGTATATGTTCTGCCTTGGGTCTGCGTCTCCGGCACCTCCCTTATGTAAGCAATCATTACACTAACACCCTCCATGACTTAACCTCTCGTTTGTGAGGTGGCAGAATTCAGCCAGTTAAAAAAGCCACGTTTGTGAGCTGGCTGAATTCTGCCGTTACTACACGGTCGTATTTCATGGCAAAATACGTTTGTTTCTTTATCTTTATCTGTGCAATAAGACCGTGAGTATTCACTATGAACTTGGCTGTATGATACACGTTAATACTAGCAATTTGTATAGAAAAAAAAAAGAATCTTGTCATTGAAGTTGTGTTGATTTTGCGATTTGAGATTGAATAGTGCTGTGATAATTTTACTTTTAAAATTGGGAATTACAAATTATTTTATTGGATATCTTGAAAAATACAATGGATCGGTAAGTTACATTTAATTATTTATTTTACTTTAAAAATTTTATTGCGTCCCCTTAGAAAAAAAAGGATAGAAAGGGCGGACTTAATGCTAAAAAGCCTTCTCTACCAGTAAACCCATGGAGTGGTGAGAGTTAGTCGTAGATGTAGCAATTAAAAGAAAAGAAAAAAATCTAATTTTCGAGACTTGTTGGCAATTTTCAATGAAGATTTTGTAATTGAATTTGATTCAGCCGTAAGAACGATCGCCGTAATGTCGCAAGTTTTTACTTTCTAAGTGACTAAATTCCTTCCAGTGTCACTATGTTCTGTTCAATATATTGTGAAAGTAATATTTGAGCTAAATACGAAAGCACATAGTATACTTTGATGTGAAAAGTGAGGAATTACTATAAAAGTATGTAACAGTCGTTAAGTGGCCCAAATCCGACGAAATAAATGAAGTAGTGGATATCATAATGCCTTTGGCAGAGAAAAAATGGTTAAGGATCAGTGATTATTGTTTTGTTTGATATGTATGTCGGTGAAGTCACTAATACGGGATCTGATTTGACATAAGCAAGCTAGGCCACATTTCCACACGGTGCCCTAATGGAGGTGGTAGCACAGAAGCGCCACGCAGCGAGCGACGTATCGAAGTGTGTCTCGTCGATCCCCCGGCAGGAACCTTATATCCTCGAAGCCAGTCATTTTCATTTCACTGCGATCCTGGTGCCGAGTGCTCACTCATTAAAGAGAGTGAATCACGTAAATTTAGTGGTAAACGTGAACAAAACGTCGTAATAGGCATTAGTCAGGCGTGTGTACTCAGCACTGTTCAGACAACTTGCGTTGTTGCCATTGACAACAATTTAATCGAACTATTATTACATGTTTTGCCCGATGCCTTTTTGCAAAGTGATATAATGTTGGGCCCTAAGATATTGTTGCTAGGATTTAGTGTTAATATGACCGCGACACATTTTAAAATTTTGAAAATTCACAATATAAACAATTGTAATTTGGAACCACCCTCGTTTGATACAGTGAGTACCGTTCCGTCTTTTAGTGCTGATTACGAGCCCTCTAACAATAATTTAACCGATATTGATACCGGCGTGTCTTTAGATCATAAATTTGCGATTGCTTCAGATCAGCGATATTCGGACTATTTTATTACGGGTATGCCGCGAATGCACGTAACAACGGATGAACATGTGATACGATTAATGGACTTTTCTTTCACCCTACAAAGACGACGTTATCATCGACTTAGCGCAGAAGAAAGAAAAATAATGCGTGAAAGTGTAGATGAGTTACTGCGTGTCAATATTATTCGACCGAGTAGTTCTCCGTTTAATAGTCCAGCTTAATTGGTGACAAAACGCGACGGTTCGTACAGAATGTTAGAGATTACCGCGAGTTAAATAACAATACTGTTCCTGACCGGTATCCGTTACCACTTATCTCAGACCGGATATCACTGTTGCATGGTGCGCGTTATTTTACAAAGTTAGATTTTGCATCGGATTTTCATTTAATTCCTATCAAATGCGAGAAATCTATACAGCAAATTGCATTCATAACACCAGACGGTCAGTACTTAGCACGGGCGGTTCTGCCGCCGCGGGAATCCGCTTCTGAACCGCACTAGACTCAATTTTATATGGACATTGTATGACACAAACTACACTGCGCGGTTTCCCGCCGCGGTTTGCAGGCGGGAGAAATTCGACCGCCGCATGCAGCGTCAAACCGCCGCTGTTAACCGCCGTTTAAAACTACACGGGCGGTTATCCGCTATTGCGTCATTCTGCGCGGGACCTTCTCGCTCGCTCGTCGTGTGTGCGCTTGCGTGGCTAGTGGCGCGTCAAAATGTTCGACAAAGAGCGTTTTATTATTGAAGTACAAGAAAGACCTCCTTTATATGAAGTGAAGTCGAAGGAATACGCCAATCGGGAACTAAAAGCGAAGTTATGGATGGAGATAGGACAGGAAGTGGTTGCTCATTGGGCTGATTTAGGCCCAGAAGAAAAAAACAAAGCTGGTAAGTTTACTTATTATTTTATTTCTTATTTTAATGTATCATCCTGTTTTGCCAAGGAACCGCTCCAGAGCCATTGAAATATTGAACAAACGAATCTCTTACTGAAATGCCACTAGATCGGCCTCCAACTGCCTGGACTTCGTCGAATTCTTCCATGTCACATCGAATCGTATCTGCAAATTGATAACCATCTCTGCGTCTTACGAAATTGTGTAATACACAAGCAGCTTTTATAATGTATTTTGCACTCTGTGGATTGATTATAATGCTTGAATGAAAAATTCGCCACTTGTTACTAAGGATACCAAATGCACATTCCACAAAGCGGCGGGCTCTAGACAGTCTATAGTTAAAAGTTTTCTTAGGCGTGTCTATGTTTCGTAAAGAAGATGGTCTCATAACATTTTTATTTAAATCGAATGCAGCATCACCTACAAATACAAAAGGCACACGAGGATTTCCTATATTGTTAGGAAGATGAATTGGCTCCGGTAAATCCAATTGAGAATGAGTTAACTTTTGCCCGAAATTTGAACTTTTAAAAATTTTAGAGTCACTTTCTCGACCTGGAGCACCAATGTCAATGAATGTAAAACAGTAGTCTGCGTCAACCACTGCCAATGAAATAATCGAATGATATTTTTTATAATTATAATATTTAGATCCAGCATTCGGAGGGCAAACAATTCTAATATGTTTGCCGTCAATGGCTCCAACGCAATTAGGAAAGATCGCTTCTTTGTAAAATTTCTCAGCAATGTTTATCCATTTTTCCTTATTTGGTTTTGGCATCTCTAAAGGTGCTAATTCTTGACTAATAGCTTGACAGGTTTCTTTTACAATGAATGGTATAGTTTTTCGAGAAATTTGAAAATCGTACTCCAAATCAGTGAAAGTTGCTCCCGAAGCCAAATATCTGAAAAATAAATAAATGCCATATTAATAATACATTTCTTTTTTGCAGTAAAGGACCTAATGAAGAAGTGGAAGAATATAAGAGATAGTTATAAAAAAGAAGTTAATTTAGAAACTACCACATTATCGGGACAATCAGCTCCAAAAAAGAAACGATATATTTATTATGAGTTGTTGTCCTTTTTACGCCCTAGCGTCAGTATTGCAGAAGAACGTGAGTCCAACGTATCTCCAATACCTTCGAATTCATCACAAAATCAGGATTTTGAAGAAGATAATTTGATGAGACCACCGCGACAAAACCAAGTTCCTACCAAAAGAAAGAAACAAATGGAAAGTACCCAAATTCCGCAAATAACAAAAATTTAGAATGAAAGTTTACAATTACAAAAGTTAAATAACGATAATGACGCAAAAGGAAATCGAGCATTTCTTATGTCCTTTGTACCCATTATGGATTCCATGACTCCTGATTTGGCTATGGAAACTAGATATGAAATTACGAATTTATTCAGATATATACAAAGAAACAAAAGAAACTGCAGTATTCCTAGCAACTTGTCTGAGTTTCTTTACCATAGAAACCAGGAGCCATCTGCGAGTTCTGGGTCTAGAGCATATCACGAGGACACATTAACTCCAATGACTAGTGTCGCATCGCCACAAAACGATACTGGGTCGGACGCATCAACGGAAAATTATGATTATTTTAACGTTCTGCATTACTTTACCCTAATAAAAAAGATTACATAATAAAATAATGATATTTTATTTACCTGAGAGTTACAGCCAAACGTTCCGCAGGTGTGATGGATCTTCGCATATTTGTATCCTGTTTCTTAATACGTTGGCTTTATAATTGATAGAAGTTCATCAAATTAGTTCACAGACATTCTATAGTAAGAGAAAAACTTACGACGAATAATATTTCATTCAATAGTGGACGGTGTGCACTATTGAATGAAATATTCCCGAAGTTAAACGGTTACTTAACACTGGTTCCACCCAAATATTGCGGTTAACTTTATTTTTTTTAAATTCTAATAATATAAGAGCTGCAAGCGCAGTTATCATTGGCGGATCCATGTTAAAATGAACGCAAAACAGCGGTAAACCGTGTTCCGTGTAGTTTGCTGGTTTGCGGGAGCTTTGTCGAGCGGATTCCCGCGGCGGGAGAATCGGCCGTGTAGTATAGCTCTTAGAAACCAAAAGAACGGCTCACTCAAATGAGATTGATTTAATTTGTAAGTCGCTTAGAGTTTTGCCTAAATTTGACGGTTACCAGTACATCCTTATGCGCTTTATTAATATTTGCGACCAACTGGTGTTAGTTCACGTAAGAAATGAGCTCGGATACGAATTAGCCAATCTATCTCTCATTAACGGAATTTTAAATAAAATAACTTGGTCAGCGGCTGGGCTAATAAATTCAAATGGAATACCCGAAACCTGGGCCGGCATCAAAAGCACTCTTATAAATAACTTCGCCGACCATCGCGACGAAAATGCATTATACAGCGATTTATCACTACAAAGCCAAGGGTCCAGTACCCCGCAAGAATTTTACGAGCGAGTTCAAAGTTTATTTAGTACGATAATGACGTACGTCACCCTACAAAAAACTGTGAGTACGACCATCGAAACTAAACACGCACTCTATAAAAAATTGACCTTAAAATCTTATTTACGTAGATTAAAAGACCCTCTAGCGTCTAGAATAAGATGTATATGACCCGAAAGTATGGAGGAAGCACTTGAATTCGTGCAAGAGGAGTTAAACACCCTCTATCTCCAACGACGAAATGAAGGCTGTCAGAACAGGAAGGAATAGACTCAACCTACTTCTAGCTCTAATCTACCATTAAATAATTTCTTTCGAAAACCTACCGCGTTTAACATGCCGTCACTACCTAGACCACAGGGTAATAAGGCACTTAACTTATTAGACAACCACCTATGCAACCGCACGCTGCACAGAGTTGAAGATCCAACCCATGCCACCCCAGATGCATGCACCACGTGGTCCACTCGTACAATGATGTGTGCTCCACCACCAAATTTTAACCCCCACAGTAATGTGTTTAAGCTCCCTAATAGACCTCAACAACCACAGGGTTTCAATTTAAATAATAACTCGCATTCTTCTCCTATGAGCAAGGTCACCCCATTTGTTTCGAAACCCTTGCCACCGACTTGAAACGACTGGCGACGATTTGGCAACCCACCGCCGAGCAATTACTTTAAAACTCGTGAAGTAAATTTTAACGAGACGGGTTGTTACTACGACTATAGCACTATAATTATAATCAAGAGTACTACTATACTTACGAACCATATCCTAATTATAGCTACGAGCAACCGCATAACCCCACGTGGAAGCTCATGTCATAGAGGAAGTGGATTCTAGTTTCACTTCGACTAATGATGAGGATTTTCGGCAGTGTCCCAAATCAGAAAAACCAAAATAGAAGTAAATTTCCACATACAAAGGCAACTCGGTTACATTCAGACAAGTTATCACCCATTGAAATTTTTAATAGACACCGGCGTTAATCAATCGTTTATTAGTCCCGAAGCCGCAAAAAAATTGCCACATTCCACTGGTGGACCCATTCTAGGTCACCAGTGTTCATGCGACAAGTAAGAATGATTATTCCATAACTCTCCCATGCCATTTAGAGCATAATGAACAAGATAATATAACTTTGTTGATTTATAGATTTCATCATTTTGGGGGGATAAGTCGCTCGCGTCCGTAGGCTTCGACCACCTAATCCTAGGCCCACCCTACACGTTTCCCCCCGGGTGGTGCTAAAAGAGCGACAAAGCCGAAAGAACAGACTCGGCTACTCGCCGTGTGGTAGCGGCGTAAAATATGCCACGCCCTAGTTTTCGCACCATGAGGCAAAAAGTAAAAGAAATGGCCCCGAGTTCCCGGCGCCCCTTTAATGGGGCAGGGGTGCGAAGAATCTCCGGGAGGAAAACCGGCGACGAGGTTCGCCACCCGTCACGTTCTGTCTCCCAGAGAGGCGAAAAGTGGATTGCAGAGGCCCGTCTGGCTACGTTGAATGTATGTGGGGCAATGAATGATAAAATGGATGAAGTATGCGATGTGATGTATGATAGAGGAATAGATGTATTATGTGTAAATGAGACGAAAAGGAAGGGGAAGGATGTCACTGCACATGGCATGTATACCGCATACTGGTCTGGTGTAGACGAGATCGAGCGGGCATGCCAGGGAGTAGGTATCATCCTTTCAGAAAGAATGGGCCAATGTGTGAAAGAGTATGAATGTGTAAGCCCAAGACTGCTATGGATACGAATGAAAGTGGGCTTAAAGAAGTTGTTTGTGTTAGGGGTCTACGCCCCAGACATGTCTAAGCCCACTTATATCCGGGAGCAGTTTTGGGAAATGGTAAGGATGGTGTTAATGAAGTGTAAGGGAAAAAATATTATTATGCTAGGAGATTTTAATGGAAGGGTTGGGGTGAGGAGGCTTGGTTATGAAAGGATATTGGGAACGTTTGGTGATGAAAGTATAAATGAGAATGGTGAAAGCCTCCTCACCGTATGTGTGGAAAGGAATCTTTTTGTGACGAACACTTTCTTTCGTCATAAGAAGATTCACATGTATACTTGGGAAAGAGGTGATGATAGAAGCATGATAGATTTCATAACTGTGGATGAAAGAATGAGGAGCGCAGTGGTGGATACAAGGGTTTACCGGGGGTCCAACGTAGGGACGGACCACTACCTGGTCTTATGCCGAATTAGGGGTTTATTCAGACGTTGGCGGCATAGGACATCTGTGTCTACCACTGCGTTACAGCGTATAAGAATTGAGAGGTTACAAGATGAAGATGTGAAAGACTAGTACAGATGCAGACTGAGAGAAAATATAAGTAATTTGGATGAGTTGTGTGTGAATGAGTTAGACTTGGAGAATGTGTGGCATAATGTTAAGAAAGGTTTAGTGGATGCAGCTCCGATATGTGGTGTTACTAAGAGAACGAATGAAAGGAAAGACAATACGTTATGGTGGGATGATGAGGTACGTATGGAAGTTGAAGCAAAGAAGAGAGCATGGCTAGATTTACTAGCGACCAAAGCTGGTAATTCTGGCTGTAAGAATGATGAGAATGAAAGAAAAAAGGCTGAGTTTAAACGTTTAAACGGCAACGGCAACGACGTGGTGGCAGGCCTGCTGTACACCTTGTTTAATTTATGTTGGGAACTAAAGCGGGTACCGGGAGACTGGTGCAAAGCCGTGATAGTCCCAATATATAAGGGAAAAGGGTCACAGCAGGACTGTAAAAACTACCGTGGTATCAGCCTTCTTAGCATTGTGGGAAAACTGTATGCTAAGGTACTAATTGAAAGAGTTATGAAAGAAACTGATGAAAAATTTGGGATGTGCAAGTGGGATTTAGAAAGAGAATGGGGTGTACAGATCAAGTCTTTTCGCGGAGAAGTTTTTGGCGAAAAACCAAAAAGTTTTTTGTGCGTTCATGGACTTGGAAAAGGCTTATGACAGAGTGGACAGAGATGTGTTATGGCAAACGCTGAACGCATTTAGGTTGAGCGCTGGTTTGATACAGGCATTAAAGTCTCTGTATAGGGACTCGAGTGCTTGTGTTAGAATCAACGGGGTCTACTCGGACTGGTTTGGCATTCATAAAGGTGTCAGACAGGGCTGTGTAGCTTCCCCGTGGTTGTTCAACCTATTTATGGACAGCTGTTTGGAAAATTTGAAAGTTGAAGAATGCGGGTTAAGAATGGGTGAGTTAACCATCAAATACCTTTTGTACGCCGATGATCAAGTCATACTTGCGTCGTCGGCGGCCGAGTTGCAAATGATGGTTACATTAATGAACAGGTCATTAAAACAAAGGGGAATGAAAGTGAACGCAAGTAAGACGAAAGTGATGGTTTTTGAAAGAGATGAAAGCAAAACGGTATGTGAAATAAGAATAGAAGGAGAGTTAATTGAGCAAGTGGATGAGTTCGTATATTTGGGATGTGTATTCAGCAGGGATGGGATATATGATAGGGATATTGAACGACGAGTGAATGCAGGAAATAAAGTAAATGGGGCTCTACACTCTATTGTGAAAAGTCAGAATGTGTCAAAAAAGGCACGTATGGCAATTCACAGTGCTGTATTAGTCCCTACTTTAACGTATGGTAGTGAAAGTTGGGTGTGGCAGAAGAAGCACGAGAGTAGAATAAATGCAGTAGAAATGCGGTCGCTAAGGAGTATGTTAGGGCTGAATCTGAGTGACAGGGTGAGAAACTGTGTGATAAAAGAAGAGTGTGGTTTGCAAGATGATGCGGTGACAAGGATTAAGAAAGGAATGCTTCGGTGG